ATGCTATGATTCAGTCATTATCTTCTGTTTTGAATTAGATAATGCTCTTATTTATTATTATATATCACATTTTATATTACTTTTTATCCCTTACACCCTCTGAGCTGGCTTACTACTGCCATCTAAAACATCTTTTCCTTTTACCGCTTACACCCTATATGTTGGCTCACTAATATCTTTGAATTTCCCCTCAAATTTGGCTTACTGCTACTTTGGCCTGGCCCTTTCTAGGTTGATTAAATGATCTATGTAAATTCTTAACCCCTTATTAGGTGGCTTAGTGATTTTTACAATGATTTACATATACATAATATATTGAGCAAGAGCACTTGTAAGTGTATTCAAGATAGATATAGTAATATACCAACCTGAGAGTCTGGTTTTGAAGAGCAGCAATAACCACTACATCACTATCATCATCAGAGAATCTCACAGTAAAAAACTCATCATTACCAATCTGTAAATACAAATTATCTTATAATATATCACACTATCATCATCTGAGAATCTCACAGTAAAAAACTCATCATTACCAATCTGTAAATACAAATTATCTTATAATATATCACACTACATCACTATCATCATCAGAGAATCTCACAGTAAAAAACTCATCATTACCAATCTGTAAATACAAATTATCTTATATTATATCACACTACATCACTATCATCATCTGAGAATCTCACAGTAAAAAACTCATCATTACCAATCTGTAAATACAAATTATCTTATAATATATCACACTACATCACTATCATCATCAGAGAATCTTACATTAAAAAGCTCATCATTATCAATCTGAAAATACAAATTATCTTATAATATATCACACTACATCACCATCATCATCAGAGAATCTTACAGTAAAAAACTCATCACTACCAATCTGTAAATACAAATTATCTTATAATATATCACACTACATCACTATCATCATCAGAGAATCTAACAGTAAAAAACTCATCATTATCAATCTGTAAATACAAATTATCTTATAATGTATCACATAACATCACTATCAGCATCAGAGAATCTTACATTAAAAAGCTCATCATTATCAATCTGTAAATACAAATTATCTTATAATATATCACACTACATCACCATCATCATCAGAGAATCTTACATTAAAAAGCTCATCATTACCAATCTGTAAATACAAATTATATCACACTACATCACTATCATCATCTGAGAATCTCACAGTAAAAAACTCATCATTATCAATCTGTAAATACAAATTATCTTATAATGTATCACATTACATCACTATCAGCATCAGAGAATCTTACATTAAAAAGCTCATCATTACCAATCTGTAAATACAAATTATCTTATAATATATCACACTACATCACTATCATCATCAGAGAATCTCACAGTAAAAAACTCATCATTACCAATCTGTAAATACAAATTATCTTATAATATATCACACTACATCACCATCATCATCAGAGAATCTAACAGTAAAAAACTCATCATTACCAATCTGTAAATACAAATTATCTTATAATATATCACACTACATCACTATCATCATCAGAGAATCTCACAGTAAAAAACTCATCATTACCAATCTGTAAATACATATTATCTTATAATATATCACACTACATCACCATCATCATCAGAGAATCTAACAGTAAAAAACTCATCATTACCAATCTGTAAATACAAATTATCTTATAATACATCACACCACATCACTATCATCATCAGAGAATCTTACAGTAAAAAACTCATCATTACCAATCTGTAAATACAAATTATCTTATAATATATCACACTACATCACTATCATCATCTGAGAATCTCACAGTAAAAAACTCATCATTACCAATCTGTAAATACAAATTATCTTATATTATATCACACTACATCACTATCATCATCTGAGAATCTCACAGTAAAAAACTCATCATTACCAATCTGTAAATACAAATTATCTTATATCATATCTTACTTAAATAAACATCATTCAAACAGGTATGTTAACAGGGAGATAACTTCACGGATGTTTATTTTTGAAAGGACTTTCATGTGTTTGATGTTGAATAATTTGATGAGAAGTTTATGTGTGTGATGTTTATGAAACTAATTTTACTCATCGTCAAAAAAAAGATAATGATTTTAAACAGGAATTGATCTTGAAAATGTTTACTTTTAAAAAATATTGTTGTTCATTGATGTCAGGACATCCTGAATATCTAGTCAGACATCACTGGTAAATTCAGTTATGTGGGAATGTAACTGATAGATACTGATAGCTTGCCAGGCAAGGTAATATATGCCCACTGGCAGCTTTGTTTTTAAGTGAACATTTGACTGAACAGTAGCAATAACTCGCAAACAAA